CTTCGCGATAACCCACAAAATATATGTCACAATTTATAGTACCTTTCAAATATCTGAATGCATGAGAGATTGCTTCCCAAAGCTCTCTATGGGGGCAACTTATAAATCACTCAATGTTAGGCGTCGTGCTGCTCATTGCACACATTAAACTACCAATTACCGTAGCATAGTATATTTGAGATATATATCTCTCTTCAATCTTTTTTAATTTCATATGAGAATCTTTCAGGGTAGGGATTGTTATTATCAGTATGCTCAAACTTATGGAGCATTTTCTCCATATAGTGAGATTGTGTTAATATTAGTTAGTTTTCTCACCATTTTGAAACCTAATAGCACATAAGCCTCTCCTAAGTCCCTTATCTCCACAATTTTTAGATTAGAGCCAAAATTAGGATGTGGTCTACATATAGACATATTATGACACATTCAGAATTTATTTATTTACTGTACACACATTTACCATTCTTATTTCAAAACTTATCATTGAAAGAACTTATGTTAATGCAAACACAATGGTTGAAATAATTTAACCTACAAAATTTCAATGATATTGTTTTTTCTTTTTTCTTTTTTTAATAAATTAACAGTAGGAATGGAGGGTGAGACATTACATTGAGGCTCCTGGCCCCCAATGATCGTGGCCCCGACCACCCTGTTCCCGACATAATAGACAATTGGACTGCGCGAACATAGTCCATAAGTATTTGCCACACACATGGTGTTTCAAACCTAAGATAAGTTCATCCTAGTAACCCTATAACCAGAGCCACAGCCAAGAACCCAAAACCTGTACCTGATTTTTCGTAGTCCCTAGGGAATCGTAACCCACATTTTAGAAGGGCAATCTAGATCTCTTGACTTCTCATGTTGCCTGGAATAGAACTATGTTCCTTCTATAAGATCAAGATCAAGCTAAAGGTAAACTCTGACATCCACAGGCACTCATAAGGGCAAGTTATAGATGCTTCTTAATGGAAGAAGAAAATGAAAGGAAAAGAACTTGTAACTCATTGGACCTAAATGTTAAGTACAAGTGACTTGGGAACATAGGATACCCTAACACTATATGAGCTTTTCAAATAAGGATACCCTAACACTATATGAACTTTTCAAATAAGATATTTCAAGGGGGGTGGAACATGCATATGAATGTAATAGATATGTATTGAGTGCTCTCAAGATTCCTTGTTATTGGATGCCTGACTTTCTCCGTCGAAAGGTTGGAGATCTTTTCTTATTTTTATTTTTATTTTTGATAGGTTTACTACGTGACCTTTGTCAGCAGTTACTAAGGCTTGTGCTTAGTCGATTGCAATGATAAGGATGCGATTCAATAATCAGATTCCCAAACGAAATGATTTTTATTTTTTTTACCCTAATGCATGCCCGGTTTTTTCATATAGATTAGATTGTTAGCTTTTTTGAAGGTGTCAGTGGGTGAGATTAAAAACCTAGGTGCTACCATCACGACCCGGCCCCTTTCCTAAGTAAGGCTTCTTTGATATAAAGCTAACATTCAGATGGCAATGTTCATTGTTCAACCTAGAGGACCAAGAGGATGTTGATGGTTTTGAGTAGACAAAAAGAACTCAGTAAATTATTCTCACTGCTGGTAATTAATTTATGCATGCTAGCCCTTACGAATACCCAATTCATTTTCTATAGAAGATAAGTAAGAGAAGGAAACTGAGAGAGAGATGTCCCCCTCTTCTCAATCTCAAGAGAGAGAAAGACAACAATCTCGAATCAAACACACTATGCAAAATGTAAAAAAGTCCGACTCCAAGGAAAAACGACATGTATGAACAAATGTTTCTCATTTTCTGAGGGTCCAGACAAGATGATGGGACCCAAAAAACCCTAATTTTTCTTCCTTGATACTGGTGAAATGATCAACAAGTGGTTTTATTTATTATATTCATACAAACTGGCTTTTGTGGGAAAATGATGAGAGAAAATGTACAAATACTTAAAACAGAGACGGTACTGATGGGAGGTACTCAACCTCAATCTTGATCAGCACAACCAAACTAAACAAAGATGGGAAGGCTAGAACTTGTTAAGATTTGGAGTTCTTTTGGTTTGGGGAGGTAGGCATATAATGCTACTTAAAAAATCATACGGGTTATACTAATTTTTGATACTATAATCATGATAGAATTAACTACTATAGGACCCTAAACTATCTATGTATCTCTACATTATTAAGCATTACATGGCATTCAAGATGGAAAATGACATCCGAGTTGCCATTGTCTCAGAAAATAAACTCTGATTTGGGTTCAAACCTAAACAAACTTTAGAGTAGATAGATAAGGTCTGGTCATACGATCTCAACAAATTAAAGATGACATAAATCAAGCCAGAAATAATACGACTTGAAATCCCTGAACTTCAAGGAGGGATTGGTGAAACTAATCAAAGATTGTAACAATACAAAAATATTGATAGATGAGAAAAGGGTGCTTACAATCTCATAGCTCTAGTACCAAATCTCATTCTAGGGATAAGCTCTAAGTTCGACTCCAGTTGTCGATCCCATATGCAGGGACCAATTTCGATACAAGACCCATGACTTGAGGGCACATGATTTCAGTACTAAGGTCGATTTTATCGAATTTCAAGAAGAGCTCCAAAGAGAAATCAAAATTATGATTGACATCTCAATGTTCCACTACAATGTCGCATTAAATGTTTGATTAATTGGTTCATTAAAGAAGATGAAGTCCCTGAGCAAATAGTGGAGCTTCATCACCACCTATTGAAATTGCCTTTGAATGACCTATTGAAATTGCCTTTGAATGATGCTTTGAAGAAAAAAAGATTGAGGTCAATCCTCATCCAACTCTAGGAAAATGATGAAATATATTTTTATTTTTTACTTTACAATTTTATGGATACTAAAATTCGGATATGGTCTTTTTTTATTTAGTTAGGGCATTTATGTCTTTTTAGTTGTAAAAAACTGTAGGGCAGAATTGAAAGTTCAATTTTTAAAAGTTGTAAGAATGTGATTTAATATTGTTTAGTGGATTTTTATTTATTTTTTTTGAAATTTAATAAGGAAAAAATTCATATAAGGTCCCAACCATAAAATGTAGAATTAAAGGTGCACCAAACAAATCCATAATAAAAATTCGTTTGGATGCTGGAAAACCCTCTAATTCATCATCTCGACATCGAGATATATGAATATGAAAATAAATAAATAAATATCGACATCGAGAGAGCTATATATATATATATATATATATATATATATATAAT